TCCATCGCATAAAAAGATATTTGTTTCTTTATATTTCTTTCTTTATATCTCTTTTTATATTAAAAACCTGAACCATTTACGTTCTGCATTCTCTCTTTATATTTATTAACATTGATTCAAAATTATTCATTTTTATTTTATTAATAAATTATATAAGAAATTTTTTATTTGTCATCATTAATAACATTATATTTACATAATGCTTTTATTATAAACTCATTGATATATATGTACCAATAATATTCATGATTACGATCTGTTGAGATTTAGAAATTTTAACTTATTTTATGCTTTTATAATAAAAGAAAATAAAACAAATAAATAGTCATATAAAAATTATATATAGATTCAAATAATGTGATAAATAAATGTTTTGTTGTTCATAATTTAGTATTCTACTGTAGTCTCCTACTGAAAATAACTTATGAAATAATTAACATTTTTTTTATTTATTTTGAAATAAAAAATTATATATTGATTTTACCAAATTTTAATCTCATCTCATCGTACAATGACTATTTTATTGATAAAATCGTGTGATTTAAATTGAATTTCAAGTCCCGAAAAAAATAGATTTTACTTAAGTATTAATTTTAAATTTCTAACGCGAATTCGAATATTATTTTAATCAATTTTGTACTATATATTAATCATAAGTATTATTCTTTTTATTATTTTTTATGACCTTGAATATTTATTCGAATACCCTATTATTTAAATTAATTATATACTTTTACTATTATTTTATTATTTATTTTACTTATTTCGTTTAATTTTATTATTTTATATTATTTTAGATATCTTTTTAAATGACAATATCTTTTCTATTTTTTATTACAAAATTATATAACAATTTATACTGAATATTATTATTTAATGATTATTACGTTGCAATATTTGCGATTTATTACGTTTTCTCTAACAGTATTAGTTATTTAATATTTTAACGAACACATTAATTTATATTTTATACTTAAGCCTCTTAATTTATTCCTTATATTTTTTAATGAATTCTATTAATGTTAATGTGAGTTATACTTTGACCATATTATTCCGTATCATTTTAATTTGATAGAACTTATGTTTCAGATGATTTATCATTTTTTATTTTAAATAAAAATATGTGCAAATAAAGTTGCCCAATAATATACACGCTTTTATTTACAATTATAAAAGTTTTTATATATATTTTTATAGTAAAAGTATATTTTTCATTAATTCATTCTATAAAAGTCAAATCATAATTAAAGTATGTTTATTACACATGTTTTTTAAAGATTTTAATTTTTTTCCTTGGAAAATATCAATTATGCTAGAATACCATATAACTCTGTTAACTTCTTAAAAGATAGTTTGACTAATCGCTGAAGTTTCTTTATCTTTTTGAAAATAATGATTTTATGTTTGTAATAATCATCTGGCACGAATACAAATGATTGATTTGCTTTAACAATGTCATTATAATTAACTACTAATAGCATTTTTTAAATATATTTATATATTATATATACATACATTATATATAGATAAATATACTTACTAACGTTTAATGTTTAGACCCACGTGCGCATGCATAATGTTTAGAATTGCGTGTTCCCATTTCGTGTCTAATTTTGCCTATTTGATATGCCTATATTATTTGTAATAATGTTTTCAAGTATGAAAAATTAGTCTCGTCAATATAAAATTTTTTTAATTTTAATATTAATTATATAAATTTAGAGCCCTCATTCGAAGAAGTATAACGATGTACTTATCGATCAGACCAGTCTAATTGTAAAGTAATATTTGAGAGAAACGTTTATAAAACAATAAATTACAGTACTGTAAAATACACGTTAAAGTAATTGATTGCTTAAAGTACGAGCTTACTTTTAAAAGTAATTTTATTCATTAATTAAGCAAATATCATATTCGATATTCAATTTTCAATTTTTAAACTTTTTATCTTTGACTTCAAATATTCAAATGGATCAAGGATAATACATGACAAAATCGACAGTTTACTTGTAACTAGAAATATGTTAATAAAACACTACTTTAGGCTACGATGCAGATTGAACTAGTTACTAACAAGTTGAACTAATTTCTTTGCTATTCAATGGCGAGAAATTCCACACGTCAACTGACTTAAAGGCAATTTCACAATAAAGCTGACCCAACGTAAAATGAATCTTTTTTATTTTATAAATAAATATGAATTAGCATGGTTCTATGTAATTTAATGATGAAATATGAAGTTTCCATTATGCATTATTATGTATCCATTGAGAAAAGAAAAAAATATTTAGCGGTTTATTGTTACTGATTTAATGATGAAATAGAATTTTATGATATCTCGTAAAAATATTGATAATGGATTCAATGAATTCAATTTTAAGAATTCGTCAACTGAAAATAAGTATATACGAAACAAACGTTAATTACATCAACTAACATACAACAATTATATCAGTTAACGCAAATTTTATAAAATTTATAAATGTACATCAATTAATTAACAATAAAGAGCTAAATTTTCTATAAAAATTATAAAAATCTATAATTTTATATATTACTCAATTATCATTATGTATGGAATAACTTATGTATAATTCAATTATAATAATTCAGTGATAAACTTTCAGTCAAAGCTAATATAAATACAAACATTAATCAATAATTGAACGAATATGATAAATACTATTGTTAAATATAGGAATAATTTAAAAATTCATGAACATTTATAGATATAAAAAAGAAATATAAACTTTCATACAATTAAAGGTAATTTCACAAAATTTTCATAAAAATTTTCATAAAAAAAGTATTGTAATTTATATACGAAATAATTTTGTATTTGTATTGAGAAAGGATTTTCAATTAATATAAAATTTAATTTTTTATTTGAGAAAGGATTATTTGAAATATCTTTCATACTATCATCAATTTTCTTAATTTATTACATATTATAATGTGCATATAAAATATATTATTGAAATAAAAAAAATTTTTTTTTTTATTGTAACTCAACTATAAAATGGATATACCTATTTAAATCTATTAATTTGCAAAAAAGAATAGCTCTATAATTAATGTAATATTATTATAGAAACTTATCGAAGTATGAATTATAAAATGAATTGATCATCCCAAATAATATAAAATTTATGTTTTTAGTAAACAAGTCATTATTTCTTTTATTTATTCAAAATCGATTTTGTGGATATATTATGATATTAGCATGACGAGGAGTTCTGTACTATATACCATCAATTCAGTATTAAAGTATTATATATATATAATATACAATGAACTATTATATAAAGCCTTTATAAGTGTGTAAATAGAAATACCGTTCGAATAAAATAGGAAACAAAATCTTCATAAGGTTAATAATATTTGTACATATTATTTTTTTTTTTTTTGTAATTTTACACTAGTCTAGAAAAACTTTCAATTTTCTTATAGTTTCAAATTCTTAATAAAAGTTTCAAACATTGTTAAGCAAAGGAATGCTGCTGTAACTGAAATTCATTTGCCTCCTTTGTTGAATTCTTATTTCACCTATTATACGTCCGTATATATAAGCGACAATAAAGAAATATAAAACATTAAATTATGTCATAAAATAACTATATACATTAAATTATAGTCTATTATAAAAAATAAAAGGAAAAGGAGAATATTTAAAAGTATGGATTTATATGAACCCATCCATTGCAATTTATCGTGCGCATTTTAATTGTTTTCATTTTGAAGCTCTTTTATTGGCCGAGCGACAATGTTGGCTTATCAGCGATCGTACGACATTATGAGTCGAATGAATCATTTTGATGAAGTTTATTTGAACATTTACTATTTTATTTGCATTATTATCAAAGAATCTACGTACGATGTTAATGTCTAGAAATACACAATAATATGCTGAATATGATTAAATAAGATTCGTGAAACTAAAAATTAAAGAATAAGAGTAATCAACGAGAACAAATAGATTGAACTAACATATTTAAATATTATTACAGGTTACTTAAATTATTTTTTATTTTGAAATTATAAATCGTAAAAATATATAAAATTATGAAAATAATAATCAATTAACAATAATAATTTAATACAACTAGGTATGAAAAAAAAATTTAGTATTATCGTATTGAATATTTTATTACCATATTAAGTTTTAAATGAATAGAAAGTTCAGTTTTATTTTTTAAATCATTATAATTTTATTTAATTGTATTTACCTACAGTATAATATTATTCATTTATTGTAAGGTTATTATTCACAATTATTTATAACTAAATCTAAGTTTTAATGCCATTATGTAAATACACTGGTCATTTTATTAAAAAACTATTTAAATCTAAATAACATATTTTTTATTAAGTAAAGAACGTATGTATTTTATAAGGAAGTTAATTCAAGCTATTGTAGTACAATATTTTTCTTTGTAAATATGATAAATTCGAAGATTTGAGCAACAATTCATGTATCCAGTTTTTATCTGTTACGGAGAATTACGATTTGCGATTATATGAAAAGTGCAAAATTGATGACGCAACAGTTTAAAAAATAAAGAGATATTGATTCATATTATTTGTGTTCACGTGATAGACATAATTAGTGGTTCTGCTGAAAATAATTTATTACAACCGAAAAAAATTGTTACATGAATAACATTACCAAGCGGTTCGTTTAATATGGATTGTGCATCAAGATTATTTTGGACACAATCATTCTCCATTAAATGTACATACAAAATTTCATTTGTAAAAATTAATTAGTCATGAGAATTATTTCAAAATATGGAAAGTCAGTGCTAGGATTTTAACGATCATGAGAAACGAGCAGCAAAACCAAAAAAATAGCTAGTCGTCAGCAATAATTTTGAGTGGGAGGCTTATAATGAAATAACGATGTCAGTAATAGCGATAACGAATTCTTTATATAAGCTGGCTTAACAATCAATAATTAATCAATAAATAAATAAATAAACAAATAAATAATTACGCGATAGTTTCAGAAATGATGATAGAGGAGTCGAGGAGGTCGCAGCGGCCCTACAGGTACGGAATGGTTTTACTGTGCGTTGGCGCCCTGATAAACTGGTTGGGCCTTGCCGAGAATTACGTGGAGCCCGTGAGGTACGTCGGGGTTGCCTGCATCGTCGCCGGTGCTCTCCTAATATGCGCGGCCATGTGCTGCTGGTTGCACGCCCCACCGACGAGGTCGAGCTCCCAGACGCAACGAACGACTCATCCCATTACTGCCCAGGTCAGTTTTTATTCATAATCCAGCTCGTTCAGCTCATAGGACTCTTGGGCGCTGCCAATGAAGTCTCTTCTCTACTTTACTTGCCGCGCATCTCGTAATACGATACTTGCAGACCACCTCTCATTTCCACGGCTACTTGAGCAATTCTTCACATTGTTATTAAAATCTCATCGCTTTGTAAAGTTTGAACGCTTCGACGATGCAATAATATTAAAGAAATTCTTCTGAAATATTTCAGATGGTCGAGCCAAAGCTTATTCTATTTATATAATTACACATTACCTTGTTGTGAAGTACAAATCTTGACAATTACAAAATGAAGTCATTCTAAAAGTAATAATTTTATCGCTTTATTTTCAATAGTAAAGTGAAATTTTAAATAAATTGAAAACATAAAATAATAGTCTGCAAAATACTTTTGTAATAATATTTAATTGTCGATTAAATCTATTTGTAATTTATTTAAAGAATGAATATCAATTACATTTGTTGATAGGCGAGTAAAGTATAATTATATCTGTCAATTCAGGAAATTAGTATTGCATTTTATTCATAGTGCATAATAATATGAATAGATTTTCTGTAAAATTTTCTCACATTTAATAATTTGTATCTAATATCACATCTCAAGTTTATAGTCAAACTACAAATTTAAACTAGATTATCGATATATAGAATTATTGAACAAATTCGTTGTTTCATGATAATGTATATTGTTTCCTGAAAGTTAAAATGCATTGTTATTATATTTGTATAATACGTGCCAATTCATGTCTGTACCTTTTAATTTAAAAAAAAACGAAGTAAAAATATTCATTAAAATGTTCCAAGTTAACAAATATAAATTTCATTATTACCTGCACCAAATACTTTATTAGTAATATAAATACAAAATGATATTTTGGTTTTTAAAGCTATCAAATATTAATCTTAAGGACTCTTTTATCAATATTAAAAACTCCACAGAAAACTTCACACTTCAAATTTAAAGATAATTATGAAATTTCAATCAAATATAGTTAATATTGTATGCCTGCATTCATTTATTTTTGACAGATTACATTATTTATATCCAAATAAATAAAAATAAAAATAATTTTGAAAATTTATTAAAAGGTCATTATTCAGTTTTTAATAATACTTTATTATTAACTTGTCACGATTTATTATTCAACTATTATTAAAATAAATACATTTGCATTAAGACACAAAAATTTATATTTTAATTTTAATAATTACAAACAAATAAATCCAAACATACATATGCATACAAAATCACGCGCGCGCATGCGCGCACGCACACACAAACATCTATATATAGATAAGCTAGTCTATTAGTGAAATGCGAGTGTAGGTCACTAATTCTTGTTATTTTTCTTAAAGATTTATCGTACATAAAATCCTATACAAACTAGATTTATTCATTAATGAACGTGACAAAATAATACACCATTGAAAATTATTTAAGTGCTCGACCATGAATTTTTTTTATCGTTTAAGCCAATAAAGCTACATTTCATAGGATCTATAGATGATAGATAATGTTCCATGCATCGCGCAAGCACCGTTAGACTGTACTTGACTAGATAGAGATATTTGGTTTTGGTAAAGGACGGTTATTTCCCTTTTATCACATTACTAGATTGAATTTACACTTTTCTTCTTAATAATTGTGCACACTTTTGGCCATGTCCATTTATTTTTTCTACTTATATTTATTTCCTATATTCTTTTATTATTATTTGTGTAATGAGTATCAGATTTTGTATATGTATAAAATTTGTATAATATATAAGTCAACGATCTTGTCTCTGATCGATGTTTGAAGTTAGTTTCATGTTATTTATTGAATATTTATAGAATAACATTTATTGAGCAGTAAAAGCACGTTATAGTTGTTTTCATAAGTATTTATTAAATTATATCTTCAATTTTAACTTGTCCGGTTTGAAATCTAATCGAATCGAATTGTTAAAGAGAATGTTTGTTTAATTGTAATATAAAAGTTCAAACTGTATTATTGTATTTATTTACAACATATCATATTCTACATAAGGAAACATCATTTATTATAAATTTTTATCTTTTGCCATATTATACTTATACATATTATACTTATAATACATATTATACTTATTCATTTACGTAGCACATACGATAGCGTCTGATCTTATAAATAATTATTAAACTTATAGTAAGAAATATGGAATATATTTTTAATAGATTTTTGTAAGACTTTCTACAACGTACAGATTCTAAGTTATATTTGTTAATTTAAAATTGACTTGCGATATTAAATATTGTTTAATATGTTGAGATGTATGTTCGATCAGTAATTATGTTTACAAATTGAGTTTAATTAAGGATCAATTAAAATAACAATCTGTTTCATTTCCTTAAATATCGTGGAGATTAATAATTTCATATTAGATAAACTTGATAAAGAGAACTTTTGTCATTCAACTTTTATAATGACGCCAATGAAAATTAGTAATTACGATTGGAAGTGAAACATCTTTGACAAACGATATATTAAAATATATACAAAAATAAATAATTTTATATATATGAAAAATTGTTTTCGAACAAAAAATGTAAATGAAATATTATTAAAAGTTAATTAAATAAATAAGTCTCTAAAAATAATAAATTACTGAATTATTATTATATCTATTGATAAATCTCTTTAATTCTGATTTTTAATATATGCTATTATATACATATATTCGATTATTTTGAGAAATTATAAATGAATTAAAATTAATTTTTTGTTTAGTAAGCATAAAAATATAATGTATAAATATAAGTGTGATTGTTAGTATAAGATATACCACTGCATTTCAATATTCTGTTTGTTAAAACAATCAATAAAAATGATTCATAGTCATATAAAATTTTTGTCTTACTCAAATAATAAAGAAACTAAAATATTATTTAGTTTTTTTTTTAATTTAAAAAAGTATTCTATATAATAATCTATCGTATTCAATTTTATCTGAAAAGTTCCAGTAATTATATTTAGAAACATTACAAATCATAAACTATCATCATATATTCTATTTTGTGCTATGCATAATATTTGTAAAAATTATGTTTATACAATAGTTCAAAGCACTGTTATCGATCAAAACATACAAAGTTTCTATAGTACAATAAAGTAAATAATTTATTAGATAATAGTAAATTGTGGTAGCTGAATATAATTAAAAATTAAACCATAAAATTCAACTGAAAAAAAAATCATAAAATATATTATAAGGCAAAATTAATTTAAATGGATAGAATATTATATCGAGATGTAATAATTATTAAAGTCCTACTTTTTCAAGAATATATTTAAAACAATACCAAAGGGATGAATTTTTCCATTTAGGTTAGAGTTACGCCTACCCTTAATATATATTTTGATTATTTTCTCTTTGTAATTACTAGATCTCGTAAGCTTCTATACTTATTTATGAATTTGAATTAACCCTTCAAGGACTAAATTATGTTTTATTGATTAATATTCAGTCTTTGAAGTAGCAGAGTAGAGACATTTTATTATTTTATGGCAATTAATAATTGAATAATAAAAATTTTAGATTACTTATTAATAACATAAGAGTATTCAAATAATGTATATAATGTATGATAATTGATAATAAATATGATTTTTAATTATTGACAATAATTAACAAGTACAATAAGTGCACAATATAGAATACACAGGAAGAGCTTATGCCAATAAATATTCTCTGTTTATTATATATAATATTTATATTAATAAAAACTATAAAATTATTATCAAAAACAATTAAAATAAATACAAATTTAATTCTTTTTTAAGATAAATAACATTTCAACGAATTTACGGATAAAGCACATTTTTAATTAGATATTTACATTATGAATAGATTTTAACTTTGAGCATATTTAAAGTAATTGAGAATGTATATTAAAAATGTATCGTATATCGTGAAAAAGTGTTCGTGTATTCCGATTTATATTCTAACAATAAGTTACTAATATTTAAATTCATATAAAGAGCAAAATAAATGCTTTGACTCTTAAAGTACAATTATTTTATGTACAGCTCTAGTTTTATTTTCTTTTGAAAACAAAATATTAAATTTTATTTTGAATTATTCATCATTGATTCAAAATAGACTGTAAAAATAGTTACCTGAAAGTAATATTAATTCTCAATTTATAGTTACTCGCCTATAGATGCTTTAATATCTTCAACACATTGTACGGGGATCTCACTACCTACTTACAATTTTTTCTTTTTATTATATAACTAACAACTTATTGATTAAAAAAAAAAATGTTATAATAATAAATACAGAATTGATATCAATTGAAAAAATAAAATTTTAAATTAAAAATAAAAAAAAATAAAAAATCTATTGGATTTACTTATAGTCGTTAAAAGCTATATAAAGCGGAAATAGTGATGACTAAATATAAAGCGAACATTTGTTCATATAATTCATGAAAATATATTTTATATTTTTAAGATATTATTTTTTTCATTAATTAATTTTTCATTTTCTTAAAATAATATTTAAGAAATACTGTTTATATTTTATTGTAGATCATAATTGCATTTATTTATCAAATTTTTAATAAACCAAACATTTGATAGACAGAAATATATAAATAAGTGTTGGTTTATAATTACAAAAATGAACAATTTGAAGAAAAATGAAACGTGCATTAAGTATAAAATAAATTATGTAAATTCTGAATTTCAATATCATCAGCATAAATAATATCTTTTAAAAGATAATATTCTTCTGTCAAATGATAATTTTCTAAATGATAACATTATTTTGAATATATAAGGCACAAGTATTTATTTTCAACAGAATTCAATTGAGAACAAAATTAAAGTAAAAAATTGCTTTTTCAATCTGCATTATAGAAATCCCTAATCCAAATAGAAATTATTAAATAATATTTGAACCTTTTACAAATGCAACATTTAATTTTCATAAAGTTTTTTCGAACACTTTTAAATTGAGTTAGTTTTCATTCAATTTATTAAAATGCATGAAAGCTTGAAATCTTGAATAAACTTAATGGGATTTTGTTAGAGCCAATTTTAAATATTAAAATTTTAATTTGATTTTAGGATGCTTTTGACATTCTTTTGAGAACCAACATGAAAATGAAACATGATAGTATTACATTAGACGTCAATTAATATAAAATGCATTAATACTGTTAAATACTATCATTATGCTTCAACAAACTGTAGATTGATTTCTCTTAATGGTTTTCATAATTCAATCATACAATTTGATAACGAAGGTGACAATATACTTATTCATTGAATCATTAAAATTATAATAAATCGAAAATATTATTTGTCAAATTGGATAAAAGAGGTATATATTGAATCGATAATAAGTAGAAAAACTACACTTGGGACTTATGCAGCAATAAGAAGCTATGCAGACAATCATGATGACAAGGATAAGTATGACAATTAAAATATTGAAAAAATTCTTGTGGAAGTATAAAAAATTAGCAAAGCTTCGGATTGCTCGGCACTCGTACGCGTGACCCTCAATTCAGCCAATACGCATATTAATAAAATGTAATTGGGCGCAGTAGTCAAGGAGTGTCATCGTCATTGTCGCCAGCGTTCATTCGCTCTTCCTCCTTATTATCGTCAATTACATACATATATTGACAAACGGATACTATTGTCTTTTTCATTTACAGATCGACGATCCGATCCACGTTATTGCCGTGGAGGAGCCGTCCTCGGGCTCCCGACAGAAGCCTCCAGATTACGAAGCCGTGGCAGACGCGCCCCCAAGTTACGACGATGCCATAAAGCTGAATCCTGGACAGCTGACTAGAACGAATAATCGGAGCATTGTCGGCGCGGCCACGACGATGAATACGATACCGGGAAGCGTAGCGAGCGTCGCGACGACGACGCCCGTCGCCCTTGTCGTCGAGTCGTCGACGCTGACACCGCCACCGCCGTATGCGAGGTACGTGACACAACTCTAGTCTTCTTCTTCTTCTATCGCTCTTGGAATGTCAATCGTGCAGATTAGCACAGATAGCTTTGGTCGCGTAAACAATTTAACATTCTTTTAGGGACCGTGTTCGTCATTAAATTTGTAATTAGCCTAGAACATGTACGGTAAATGATGGTAAAGAAAGTCGATTAATATATTAGTGATGAAGTATAGAATGACAGCATCTATATATTGTTATAGATAAAGATTAAATCATTAAAAAATTGATACTTGATATCATTATAATACAGTACATACATTTACTTAAGGACATTGAGTGAACATGTGTCAGAATAAATCCATAAAGTAGATTCAAAATATTTATTAAGAATAATTAAGAATAATAAATATTAAGAATAATTACTTTAATATTTGTAAAAATATATCAAGATGTATGACTTGTTAAATTTTCTAGTAAAATTATATGATTTGAATTTTTTCTTGGAAAATGATTCAAAAGCTTCATTATCTAGGCATTATATAATGAATCGTAATATAACATAGATCATTGAGAAATATAAAAATAAGTAGTAGCAAATAAATAATCTAATCAGTTAACTACAAATAATATGAATGAATGAATTAAATAATAATATTCATTAAATATGCATTGTATTTAAGAAGGATAAGTAATTTTATTGTTTTTTGTAGGTGAAATTTCATACCGGAAGCTTTGCGCTTCTTGTGGAACGGACTCAGGACGATGCGCTAGGTGGACTTCATTATAAAATAATGATATCTGTCCATGGCGTGCGCCAGCTAAACTCTCGCGTTTCTGAACTGAAATTAAATAAACAGGGACATAAACGATATCATACACCACGTGGTGGTGTGATGTGTTGGATGTACATATTATACAGGAAAAATATATATATATATATATATATATATATATATATATATATATGGAAGAAGGCTTGCATAAGAAATTATCTGTTAGTTCGATTGGAAAATGCGCTCTGCTTTTTTCTTTTACATGTACTATACATATAAAACAGTCTGAGTATTATATATTATAAACAAGTGACGAGATTAAAGGAGGTATCAAAAAATATGAAAAAAAATGCTTGCACTGAAGAAAGTGACTTACTTTAAATATATATGCGTTTCATGGTAATAGTATTAAGATTTATTTGAATCTAATAATATTAATTTGATTACAAAACTATATTTTCTGAGAATAATGCATATTTTTATTATTTATAAAAATATCTATACTAATTAATAACAGTTAATAACAATTGGTTTCAATATATATTTATTGAGTATCAATTAACTATTATTTTCTACAAACAATTCATATTATTAGTTTCAAAAGCATACATGCTTGGCAGTATTGAAAAACATATTCATTGGATAAAGTCAAATTTTTCGGTGCATACGTAATGAAATCTAGAAATTGTAATAAAAGGACATTTAATGATGAAAACGAGAATAAAGAATGTGTATGTAATTGAGTGCTCATCTCTAGTCAAGGAATCGCGATGATGAAGTAATTAATCTCATAGTTAACATAATACGCGACTATTTTCTGAGATTTATACATATCCATCGAGGGGTGAGAGAAAACAATTGACAAAAGGAAAAAAATGGGATGCAAAGAAGTCTTTTGTCAAACATAAAATATATTTATTTTCGCGAATTAAGAATTTACTATCCATAAATTGAATAACATCTTAATCTCGTTTTTCATTTTCCTCTCCTGATCTCGCATTTGTTTAATTTTTCTTTTTTTTTTTTCATAAATATTAAATATTCCGCCTGAAGTTTTGAACGACAGGTATCTGTAGTACCGTCAGATATGTGCATTAAATAAATGGACAAACGAATGTGACGAAATACTGTGCGTGATAACAACAACAACAACAAAAATGAAAAACGGCATGACGGTTGCAGCTCTTCCAAAGCTAATCAGAATTCTAAAACAATAATATTATTCACGTTGATCATAATGAAAAGGCAAATGGTTTTTTTATGAGGACGTGATCTCGATTGTAAGTGTATTTTACGGAGGTGCGCATACACTCGTAAATGATCTGGATCAATTATGTTAATCGTCATTATAATAATTATTATAATGAGAGGTACACCTACACACACGTCCATTTTATTGTGATACATATTTTATAATGTTAAAACATAAGTTGCGTAAGTTAAATGAAGTTTTGGAATTCGTATCTGTAAGACTTTTTTAATTGTAAAAGAAAAAAAATATAAAGAAAAATTAGTTAATCATTTTCCCTTTCTTCCCTTTCTTCCCACTCTTCATTGGCTGTAAATTCTATTAAGTTATTAATGTATGATTAAATACATATTAAGTCGAGATAAACTAACTGTATTATTGATATTTTTTATGATACATTCGGATTCAAATTATAAGGATTATAATTGTTAAGGAAAATTTTAACTTTGTGTTTTCGATAACAAATAAAAAATAGCCTTATTGATATCAATTGTAATAAGATAATCATTGAATATATATTCAAATTTTTATGAAATGATATCATTAAAAAGAAAATATTTATACGTTTTCCATAATATATTTTCTGAATAAAAAAGTTATTTTTTAAATTGTTATTAATCACAACTTTATTAATTAATGTTTGAAGTACATTAATGTTTGAAATTAAGAATAATTAAAAGCACACATTTCCAAGAAAAATGGAGAATAAACAGGTTTCAAAGTTATTAAGATAATCGATATTTCATCGATAAATACGCTTTATTCAATCAGAGTAACATTTATACTTATGACTTAAAGCATATTGCTGAACTTATGTTTCGTAGAACTTTATCAACCGCAACAATAGTGATAATAAATACAATAATATTAATGATAATAAATAACGAAAAGGTAACGGCATATTGACAAATAATTATAATAATAGTACTAATAATAATAATAATAATAATCGTTACAAATTCAGCAACAATTGGCCATCGTCGCGTACCGAGAGTACACACTAATAATACTTTTTTTATTTTGATGAGCGAGAGTGAGCAGGCATACTTGTATCGATATTGCTCATAATTTTTATTGGTATCCTTTCTGTTCTTCGTTTAATCAATTTTTGTTTGCTTTTGCGCCGAAGGATTTTCCATTTCAGAGGAGTATCCACCAACCGATTAACGTACATATATATTCATTCGCCTACGCCACATTATAATCAAATCACGACGAATAACGAAAGATTGAAAAATCGTACGTGTACGTAATAATTTTTTTGCTGCCTTCGAGTGTAATCGTAACTGTCATTTGACTAGTCGCTATTTTCTAAGTTTTATCGTTTATTCTCACTACACGGTGCTGGTTAAAGTATATTTCCACGATAACGTCTACGTCGCTTCAGCGTCGTTTTACACTTTTTTATTTATTTTTTCTTGTTTCTTCCTATGCACGTCACATTCCAGTCATGTAAATAATTGATCTTTCGTTTCACTACTCCTTTTATGTACATTATATCACGTTCAAATTGCATATCAGTGGTAAAAATCGTAATTTCCATTTCACTCCTTATTTAATTTACCTATCAACGCGACTGATATATGTCGTCCTTATCATAAAGTATAATTCTTCAACACTTACTTCATTTAGCGCACATATTCTGCTAATTATTTCGTCATTTCATTTTTTTTAAGATCAAAAAACCACCCTTCTTTTTATTCACTACTTTTTTACTTTTCTGCTATTCGTACTCCGTATTATTGTGTTTTTTTGAAAACACAATGTCGGTGCAAGAGAGCTACACGAGAATACAGATGGAAAGTAAGTATATTTACATATTGAACAATTAATGTGAAGGACGTGAATAATCTCGTTAAATCTATAAAAATTAATGCAAATCAAATTTCTTTCACACGTTTCGACTAAGCCATTCAATTATAACAGAAAAGCTTTCAGCTATGTATGACTAAAAAGAAAAAAAAAGATATTACTACATTCTAAATTTTTTATTACATTTCCTAATCAGTATACGTTATGCGCACCTCGTGTCTCCAACTTTTGCTTTATTTGGCATGATTTTATCTCAATCACAAAATATACAAACAGGTTGAAAATATTTTTCAATTGATTGAAGCAAAATTTCGTTTTGAATATAGAATGAAATATAACTTTGATTTACTTAATACTTAATTATTTCTTAGATTTTGATAAAATAATACAGAAAAGACACATATTAATTAAAAATTTATATGTTTCCATTTACATAATATTCAACGATGGTAAATATAGCTTACACATAAAATATACTGTTGAATGATAATTACTGTCATTGAGCATTTATGATGCTTTAATATTGTTTCATTTCAATTAATAAGAAACAGGAATAATTACAACTAAGAAGCTTTTGGCTTAGCACCGATTTAGAGTTTAATTAATAACATGAGAATTATTTTACAATAATACATTTTACTTATTTTAAATACAGATTTAATCCGTATGTATCGATATCCGTTGAATCTGTCGATATTAAATCTAATTTAGATTTTTCGATCATCGGATAATTATGTTTCCTTCTGCAGATTGAAACAATTATTATAACGTTTTAAATAGAGAAAAAGTAAGCTTATATTCATTCTATATCTGATAAAAATTTCACTTCATAAACTTTAATATATTTTTAAAATTCCGAACTATATGTAACAAGAAGATATTTATACTAATTAATAAATTAATGAATTAAACATACAATGTATTATAATGTTTTACAATATAAAAATAAAATAAAGTAATGTTAGACCATTTTTTCCATTACCATTCAGTTGTTACAAATTTTTGCATTTTCTTAGCATGGCCATACAAATTATCACAACATATTTTTTCCAACATGTACTTAAATTTGTTTCTTTTATGATGGATTTACACATTGCGTTTATTCCACAACGATACAGTGACAAGCTTTTACCGCTTTATTTGAAAAACACTAATAGATAAGTTACAGTGCAATGTGAATAAAATGATTAAGAAATATAAATATTTATAGAAATAATATTAAGATATTTTAAATTTTGTTATTTATAGATCAAAATATATGTAAATTCTTTTATAATTGAAGGAATCAGAAACCTGGGCAATTATTAATTACAGTTGCATTTAAAAATGTAACGAAGTGTTAAATTTTTTACACCGGCAAATTTTGTTAATCGTAATATATAGAAAAATGTTTTACATTATTTATAACAATAAAAGAAATTTATAATAGAGAATAAAACAATTGGATAAAAAGTTTATTTTAACAATAAATTATCGACTAGTGCAAATCACAAGCTAACTACTTTTATATTGAACAAATTATCTCAATAATGGATAAAAATTATAAGAAAATAACTTATAAATGTTATTGTAATACATTTTAATAATTAATGTTTAATTAATATTCTAAATATCACTGTACTTGGGTATTTACCCTAGATGCGAAACAATCGAGTGCAATGCAATTGACATACTTTTTTTCGATTATTGCACTTAAGATCATGTTTATTTTATTCGATGAAGTATTAGCAATGTAGGCGAGATCAATGATATTTAATTTAAATGTCTTTACATATAAAATCATGAAATCATACAATCTTATAAGGCACACAATAAAATTAATATTATAAAAGTTGCATGAACATTCTTAAAGAAAATTATCTGACCTAAATATGAATTATTCAAATACAGTCGATGTAATATATATATATAATAATAATAATAATAAACACGTAATTAAATTAGATATCAACTCGTAAAATTTTTAATGATTTTCTGCAAGATAGCCAGTAATGAATGAACAAAAATATCATTGAAATCGCTTATTTTACATCAAAAGATGTGATATTCCGCTTTTTTCTACTCTATATATTGGTTCGCAACACAGGTTGTATTTCCTCGCTAATTAAATATATGTTTACTCAGTCACTGACCGGTTGAATCATTAACAGGATATGACGCAATAGGCGCCATCCAATGCAATTCTTAAATAAAAAAATTCCACTTTACCGTCAATTTCAAAAACTGTACTTCGAAATTTTCCATTCGTTTATGAAAAAATATGCGAAGTGCAATTAATAATATGTTCTTCGAATGTTATAACGAATAAGGAGCTGATTTGAAGTTGTCAGAAACTGATGGTAAAATGCTAAATCGGTAAATCACTATAAACCCTCCCCTTATGTGTAATTATGTACAAATTATAAACAATACTTTTCAACTTGTTTCATTTTGTTTTTCAAGTTGATGTTTCTACTATTTTACCTCAATTCCCTAGAGGTGCGAAGATATATCGACGTCAACATCATTATTATTACGATATATGATTACGAACTCGCTCGAAGTTTGATGACAAGTTAACAATGAACAGTCGCACAGTGTAGTTTCTTCATTTTTATCAATTATCAATATTTAAATGGTTAATACGGTGATACCGAATAATAGTATTGATTAAAGCTTACCTGGCCATTATTGGTGGCTGCTGTGACAGATAAACAGTATTATGTGAACAGGGTGAACAGTAATAGTCATAGTTACACGATATTTCATTTCTAAGCGCAAGTAAAGATCCCTATACAGCTAAGCTAAAATTTATTTTACATGCCTTATTACATAACCGTGTAACATTTTTCTTACTCCAATCTTTAATCTTGTATGTTTGTTCGTGTAGTTGTATCGTTACTTCAGTATTTTTTATTAATTTTTTTTCGGATAATATAAACGACTTAAGTTACCTTGCTTACGATTATATTTTATTTACAAGTATGCTTCGTAAAATCGCATATGATGTTGTACATGACGCCATATGTTTATATGTACAAAAGAACGTCAGTGTCACATACTATTATTCTTGCATTTTAGAAATGTTATATTGCATGTTTAAAATTGCCTGTGTGAGTACATCTTTGAGAGTCTAATCGTTAGAAGAGCACGTATTTCTTCTCTTTTGCATTTATATCTTTAGCGCTTGTGTATATAATGAGCCGATGGGACATCCAAGCAAGTTCTCAAATTACTAGAAACTGAAATTGAAAGGAAGCTAATTGAAATTTAAATGAATCGACTGAACTCCTGACAAATGAAGCAAATTTATCTACGAACAAAGCCACTTAATCGGCCATTTGATCATTTCAATCAGAGTTATGGATAAAAAAAATAATGCATCCGGTGTCTCGTATAGACAGACGAGTTATCATTGAATTTCAAGGGAATAATGAACGTGTGCTTGAACCGTTATCATTCCGAAGACATCTGTTCGCATTACGATCTCATTTCGCTAAGTTAGCAAGCGCCTATTTGCGCTATCTCATTAATAACCGGTTAATATTCACAGTATTTCGCTCTTGATACATTAGTCTCTTAAAGATTATACCACCATTGCGTTTAAGTATTTGTACGATCCCACGAAAATGATATACGATGAAGATATTATTATTTATAGATGACATTCAATGAGGTCTTATTATAATTTTATTACATGGAGAACTTATGCGGTCCATTTATTAAGATATCATCGGAAATGATTTGTACTTTATTTTACGTCGATATACAAATAAGATAAAAAAACATATTTAAATAATTGAATGTAGTTTAAAAATAAATTGATATCGAATTTCTAACGACATTTAGAGTTTATATAAAAATAAGTATGTATGATTCATGAATTTTTACTAAATATAGCAATGAAAAATAACGTGTCAAGTAAGCTTAGCTTCTTCAGTGAAGTGGTTGTTAAATTAATTACATTAATCAAGCATTCTCAGTCGGCAATTGAGTAACGGTAGTTAAATAAAATGTCACTATTGTATAAATATTATAAAATTGTTTGCAAACGTAAGTAATCATTATATATTTTAATACACGTTAATTAAATAACGAATATAAATACTATTCAAATCACCGTTTCACGTTACTTATTTTGCACAGCGAGTGTTGGTCTGTAGAGAACACTCACGCGATAACCCCTAAACAAAAACATCGACGCCAAAAAGCACAATGCATTTCCGATTTATCAAATATCCTAAGAGGGTCAAGTGAATATCGAAAGCCGTGAAGACGGGAAGTTCGAGGACATGAATCGTAGTGAGAGGTGGCGTTTGGCGTCGACCTTGACAAATTAGATGTAATCGTTCCTCCTGTACAGACTCTGTTGAGCATGATCTCAGATGGGCGTCGGCAGTACCGTGAAGTCCTGCAAAGCGGTCTTTACAGTTTCGTAGATCGGACGCTGACCGTCTTCGGCACAGTAACCGTCGGTGGTGCAGAGAGTCTGCAGTTTTGTCAAGTAGCTGTCGAAGTTCTCGTGGCCCATTTTCTCGGGAGCAATGACGGCTCCGGGGCCCGAGGAGTTCGGTATCCGGACGTGCTCCAAGAGGGTTATCATGTTATCCCTCAATGACTGGTAGTACTCGTTTAGATTATTATTACGCTGCGATAACGATGAATTGTCCTGCACAGAACGAATGAACACTGATTATTCGAATTTATAAGTTTTCTCGGGCTAGCAAATGCAATTACAACTGATTTCAATCTTATATCATCAAATCTTATATGTTTCCTTAATTTTGAATACGCTTATAAAAAATTAACGATCGCGAGTTATAAAATTATAGTATAGGATGGCGCTCGAATCCTCACTTTGTTAATCAAAATAGAAGAAATGATGGTAGCAAAGGATTTAATTACATAATAATACATTTTCATTCTTTTAAAATTATATTTTATTTATTAAAACCTTACTTATGAGATCTTTTTTAAATTACTGCGTAAAGTGATATGAGTCGTTAAAAAAAAAGCGCAATCAAATGTGAATTATTCAAGTGTATGATTACCGTTAATGTTATTTACTTTCGGTGTTGCCTGCAATGAGTCATTGTATTTAAGTATAATGAAAATTATATTTCAAATTAGATTCATATCAAGGAAGGTCACAAATTGAAGTTTACACATTTTATGAGATTCCTTAAATGCCTAATTTACTACTCTTATATTTATTCATCCATCCAAAGTATTTTTGGTTTTACAACATTTTTAGTGTACATATTCATGTGAATTATTTCTAATGATTTACAATAGCTCAGGTAATAGATAAAGCATCTCTTAATTATTGCTCCGAAGAACTCTTTAAGCTCAATTTAAGGTAATTTCTCAATTTCAAGCAAAAGCTGAAACTGCTATATAAACGAGAAGAAAAAAAACGAAATTAAAACTTCCTGAAGTTACTCATCTACATGTGTACATAAAATATAAATAAATATCATTGAAAAATACGTACAAAAAGTAGAGAAAAATTGTATTCAAAGAGAGACGCAAGTCTCATACATTTATCAGAAAACATTGTCTGGCAGGGTGGCATCAACATTCACGCTTTTTGCTTCAAGCAGTAAATTCATAAAATTCATAAATTGGCATTAAAATTTATATATATATATAAGAGAGAGAGAGAGAGAGAGAGAGAGAGTTTGCGCGTGTGTATATCTATATAACTATTATGAATGAGATAAGTTATATTAAGAGATAAGAGTAGAAATGGGAAAAATGTAAGAAATGAGACAGAAAAACATGTGTGTGTGTGTGTGTGTGTGTGTGTGTGTGTGTGTGAGCGCGTGCATATATATATGTGTATATATATATATCTATTTTAATGCTAATTTATGAATTTCTCTCTCTCTCTCTCTCTCTATATATATATATATATAGATAGATAGATAGATATAGCGAGAGAGAGAGAGAGAGAGAGAGAGAGAGAGAGAGAGAGAGTGAGAAGTGAGGCGGCGGTGTGTACGCATCGGTCGACAAAATACCCGTATATCGGATAAGTTGAGGGATTTCGGTGCCGTGGCCCCACGGATCAGTCATACTCGCGCTCGCACCGACGACAGGTTCCATACCGACCGAGTGCATGTGTATCGGCTGCCGCACCGGCCGCGCAACTCACCTTCTCCCCGTGTTTCAGTTGATTCTCCATGGCGGTGATGTCGGAGCGCAGACGCATCACCTGCGACTCGACGCGGGCATTCTCGCGCTGAAGCTCCGTTATCTCGGCCTCCAGTGTGTAGAGGTCCTCGCCCTGGCCGCCGTTCCCGCCGGCTCCGTTCATCACGGGAACGCCGAGCACCTGGGCCATAGGCCCAATCACGGGGCCGGCGCCGGCCGATGGAACTCCCGGTGGGCAGCCACCGCCTCCCTCAACGCCTGGTCCGCAACGGGCAGTAGACAGTGGACATTACACTCACGCAATTAATTGCCTTGACGACTTAAGCGTAACGGGGGTAAGAGCGGGCGCTCGGGCTAGAACCTAACAAGCTAACCAAGTATACCGAATCTTATCGCGCGCGTACTACCAACTTGGCCAACTTAACTCAAATCTTCTCCCGTATTCCGTTTCCTCATCGATTCCGTGACCGATGATTCCTTTCTTGCTTGCATCCCCTATATCTTACTTCGATTGATAATACCTCTCGACTTATTATTATCGACTTGACAAACCGTGATATTATTTGCCTATATTGACATGCCTATATGAGCGTTACAATATTCTGTTTAGTAAGATATTTTTATTTGCCTTACGGTAAATTAATGTATTAGCCAGTATGTGGGCCCAACTTTGTCGTTGCTTTATAGTGAGTTTTGGCGGGCAAATAAGTAAATAAATAATTATATAAATAAATAAAAATTAGTTGAAGAACTATTGAAAAATGAAATGTGATTGTGTTACAAGTGAATAAACGTTGCGTACCGAAGCTGTACTTAACCCATGAATTCTCGTTCGTTCCCTTTTTATGAGTTACCATTATCTCCTCGTTATCACACGCCTGTATTATTCATGGTGATTTGAGTGCCGTACCTTCGTGCGAAGCGTATTAATACACACATCATAGAATGCATTCAAAGCTTCTTGTGCTACTAGTGGCAGGTCCGTTATTATTATCGTTTCATAATTGGCGTGTGCGTCGATTACGATAGCTCCGATAAGAAAATAATTGTCGACCTTTAATTTCACTTTATAGTCCTTTGTCGCTTGGTGCATCGCAGGTGCACGTGTCACATATAACGCGTTTGTGTCGGATGTGCAACCTGTAGAATTGCGATTATGCGCGCCTTTCATTTCTTCATTGTTTTCTCTTATTTCTCCTTCTTTTCCTTTTTTTTTTTTTTTTTTTTTTAATGCATGAAATATACATGCTAACAGGTGTTAAATATGCCGCAAGGCGTGTTTTTATACGCTTGTCGGATCAATTGCCAAGGGTAGAGAAAGGAAATTAGCGTGAAGTGCCATCATACCAGACAGTTCATTAATGAAAGGTGATATCGAATGTTAGCTTCTTTGTGCCCATAGTATCTAATTGTGTACATAGTTGAAAAAAATTTCTCCAAATTCAAAGCTCTTATTTTGATTAAGTCTTTGATACAAAAGCAATTGTATATTAATGTTACCTAAAAAATCATGAAATATGTTATATATATATACAAAGCAGTAAGACTTTTCAACTATGTACTTCAATTTATTAATTAATAGAAGATAATTTAAATGAAAAATAAGGTAGAAGTGTATCGCACACTAACAATTAAGCATCTTGAAGTTGAAAGAGTTATATTGTGTAAGGATTTTTTATGTAACACCGAAAAAGAAACACATAGAAACAAGTGGCGAGTACGTCAGTCCCTTACCTTTAAAAGTAAATGTTCTCCTCAAAGCTCAACGACAGGAAAGGAGCTGATTGCGATCCCAGAATAAATCAGAATATATTATTTTCATCATATTGGTGTTGATCCACTTAATAATTTTATATCTTTTTTACATTAAGGCCTCTAAATATAATTAATTATTCTTGCAGGAATTTTCTTAATATAAGAAATTGAGTTGAAAAACGAATTTTTTTACATATTCAGGTTTTCACACGCTCGCACGCACACACATACAGACACACGCACACACGAACACACACGCACGCACACGCACGCACGTGTGTGTACATATATATATATATATATATATATATATATATATGTATTATTTAATTTACCTTTTTAACACTATTATCATACATAAAGTATTATTATCCCAAACAAATTTTTCGCCCTTCGTGACTCTGAAGGGACTTCAATTATATCTTAATTTTTTGTCATTATATAAATAAATAATAAGTTAATATTTACTATATTACGAATAAATAGCAGTAATTAACATACAAAAATTAAAGAAAAATAAGGGGTACCCAATATGTATATAATTTAAATATTTTTTAGATTCTATTTAAATATTAAATATTACATGGTATGATATGATAATTTTAAGGACTTCTAAAAAATTAATATTATATAATCTAAATTTATATCAAATTTAGCGTGATTAAAAAAATGCTATATATATGCATACTTGTATGTATATTAAAATACTAAAATAATTGTAATTATTTTATTCACTAATAGAGGGTCAGACAAAAGTTATAAATATATATAATTTTAATATTTGACTTTGGCATATGCAGGTAACAAAACTATAATTATATGCACATGCAACACATCATTAGATTGGATCTGAAGGAAATAAACCAATGTTGTGTTATAATTTTGACTAGAGTCACGAAAGGTATAAGAAATGAATGTGCCTGAATTATTAAAAAAATTCGTGATACAATGTATTTTGCAGAAAAATTTATAAAGTAAATCAAGGAATATAGATTTCGGGAAAATAAAAATGGGAAAGGATTGGAACGAATAAAACCTTATTGGTATGACAGCACATCATTGCGTGAGATTTAAGATTTGAGCGTGGTAGAGTACAAAGTCAAATACAAGGTCAACTATATAGACAATATTGAAATATATTTTAATAAAACATATTTTTTGTTTTTTACAAAAACAAAACTTACTATACTTTTACTATATGTTTGAAAGAGCAGATTTAATACGTGTTATTACGCAACTAAGGAAAAGGGAGACAAACGGAGTTCTGAATTAATTTATAATACACGTTCAAATTTTGTTCTCTTTCGAATATACATTAATTTTATTCTTTGCTGTATATTTTTATTATTAAAATTATTCCAATCAAAGTAAAATACAAATTTTGAAACAAATCGATACTTTTATAAATTATATTGTTCTACAACCATTTAAATGCTGCTTGAAGATTAGATTACATTTTTGTAATTGAGTATTGTATCATTTAATACGGCAGGTTTACCAATAATAATTAACAGTATTAATTATATTAAGTAGGAAGTTTTAATCAAGAGCTAAAAAATAGATGTTATTATAAATAATTTAAATAATTATAGAATATTTTTATAAAAATTTTATACAAATAATACTAGTGAGTTAGTTACTATTGCTATTAATATTTGTATTTAAATTATCAAACTTGATATACTCTTGCTTAAAACCTTTATATTACTCATCATATTAATATTTTGAATATTGTAGATAATAATTTGGTCTACACAGTTCAAATAAAACAGCTTAATATACTGCATACTTGTTTGGAAAATATTTACTCATTTAAATCATTGTTTTTTTAATTAATATATCTAGTTTATAAATCAATGTTGATTTAAAGTAAATTCAATAATTACAGAATTTAATTTTATTAATTTTTCTATAGTACGTGATACAATTTAAATTTCATATTATTTTTAACAATTCAAAGAATTCTCCACTGATTTATTTACATTTATCCTTTCAATGGATAAATGACGACTATGATTGTTTCTTTACTACAAACATTATTTCCAATACAATTTATAACATCCTCAACCAGTTTTTAAATTGTAATCGATATCTCATACAAAATATGTGTAAAAAGTATTCTATTATTTCGAAGTATGAAGTTATTTTGAACAAAAATTGATACAAATTTACAGCAGTGTTTATAGTATATTTCCATTGCACAAAATAATGTGCCAAGACTTTATCAATTGAAAAGAAGAAAAATGATAAGCTTCCATAAGATTATCCCACAGGTATAGTATATGAAATCCGACGTACATTGTCTCATTGCGAAAATTGGCTCACCTGTTATACCTTTGCTGTACATTGTGGACATGTCCTCGAACTTGGGCTTCTTAACGGCGTGACCCGCGATCGGACAGCCCGACAACGACCTGTGGGTTGAGAAGGATCCATTTATGTGGCCGATGCCATCGCATCCCGGGGTCGGACAGTTCACGCCTTCGAACTTCATGGCGGTAGCCGCAGCAACAACGGCCTTGTGCTGCTCGACTGTGCCGCCTGACTCGAGGACCCTCATTTTGTTCCGATTTGCTATGGGGCAGCCCGACGCGCTGTAATCATTTTATTGCCACTCTGTTACTTTATATCTCCAGCATTATCTTTTATTACATTGATATGTTCCATTTGTGTGGACGATATTCATTGAGGCGGAAGCCATTTGCGTGTCAGTTGTGCAGCTATATAACTTTAAAGAGTTTACGCTCGAGCATTTGGTCGTGACGGGCAGCGTCATTAAAAACAAATAAACAAAATTAATATATAAACAGTAATAGACAAAACAGAATTAATAAAAAAAATCATTTGAGTCGCGATGCAATTAAAAAACTGCGATCTTTTGTAATACGTAGAATGATGTAAATCCACGGACCGTGAGATCGGAAGTAGCAACCTGTATGATTTTAAGATAAATAAATCGACGTTCATTACGAAGCTGGAAAATTTAAGGCATCGCAGTAAATAATTTGATTATGTGCACGAATAATGATTAATGGTACGAATATCAGTCACCATGATAATGGATTCTGGTTAGCATAATTATTTAATGACAGAGGAGGCATTTTTGCGAAAAATCACCACGATATGTAATTACTAAGCTGCAGCTTTTTCTCACTTTGAAGAATATTATTCTTAAAAGAATAGCACTTTAAATAAAAACATTGAATAAAAAACAATAAAAACAATATAAAAATTAAAAAGAAAAAAGAAAAAAAAAAATTACTTCTAGGAACTGAATCGTATTAAAGTAATTGCATGCTCAGGAGCTCGATCGTAACGAAGTGGTGAAAAAAATTTTACAGGTCTTTGGATTATGCTGAAAATAAGCCAAATGATACGGATAAAGTAATTGTGAAATAAATAATACGAGCATTAATAGCAACAACAATAATGGTAAGAGCAATAATACAGAAACAAGTGAATTAAGACGAGCGTACAACGATATTAATGTGTAGCCGAATATCTCAATTGAAAACGAAAATAAAAAAACATAAAAATTGGACAACACAACACGAGACGTAGAAAAAGTGACGATAAATCCTTGGGGGGTATGTTTTACCTGCGATGTGAGAGGAACTTGCCGGTGGCGTGGCCAGATCCGTCACAGCCAGGAATAGGACATCTGTCGTGTCGCATCCAGGAGCCAAGTCGTCGAGGGTCCACATCCGCATGTGAAGGAGTCAGCGAGTGCAAGAGAAGGAACGAGGAACGCGCGTGAGCGTGAAACGAGCGGAAACCGCCAGATATTAGTCAGCGTCTTCGCAGCGAGCTTACGGAGGGCGGGAGATGGGGCAAACTCGCAATTCTCGCCCCTCCGGAAGCTCTTTAAAGGCCCGCATGTGCTCGCGTACACAGTCGAGCAATCGGGTGCTTCGAGGCTCGTAATGGGTGTCGAAAGCGCAACCGGCGATGCCCAGCCTCTACGAGTCTACCCACAGTTTTAATCGAAGCGCCGGGCGATTGGGGGCTACGCAGCGCTTTCATTTTCCTGAATTATTATGCCGCGTGTGATATAAGTCACGTTACGACTGCTTTGGAATTACGATCGTTTCTCATAATATGCAACACTTACCAACGGATTTACTCGGCCGAACCGGCACTTGCGGGCGATCTAACTCGAGCACTTTGTATTGTCCACTTAAAGCGAGCGAGTGCGTTTATTTTAATGCGTTTCCCAGCGCGCAAGCACCAAATCAAAACGCTTACGTATGAGATTAATAGAACAATGCTCGAGGCTTTGGGATTCTTTGCACGATTTGCCATCGTATTTACGACATAACGACCGTACGCGACGATTGCCCGTCGGCCGCTTGATTTTTTTCAACCAGTTTTAATACATAAATAGCAAGCATCGCGAATGAATAATAAATGTAAAATAATGGCGATGTATAACGATGATTGTCAATTTGCAATAAACTATCCATTCATTATCCAGATGATAATTGACTTTAACAATGAACCTACGGAAAATACTATCCCTCGGCTGTGGTAACAAATGCGTGGTGCTAAGCATTAAAGAAAATCAGATCCGAAATCGCGATTAATCCTCGAAATTGTTCGTAAGTTAGCTGGACAAGTACTTCGAATGGTCGTAAAGGGAAGTCATGGGCTTCGCGAAAGAGCTCGCCCGCAGCGTTGGGGGGGGGGGGGGGGGGGCG